ATCGTCCTACACGAGGCGCTAGAGTGTTATTTTTATCATCGAAACGATCAGCTCGATGTTCCCCATGCATTATGGTGTTCACTCAGACTCTCCAAAAACGATAGGTGTCGTGTACCGACCTCCCGCATCCCGAATACATCCAACAAGATTCTGTTGCAAACCATGAGAAATGCACTATCACTAAAGTTCTCCCATGCTCTCATAATGGGTGACTTTAACTGTCTCCATTTTATTAGAACGAGGACTTCCCGGCAGCCAATCGAAAGACAATTAGCACAGTTCATTGGCTTGCACCCATTGTACAACCACGTAACAGACTAGACTTAGAGCAGGTCACGTACCATCAACACTGGATTTAGTATTGACAAACGAGGAGGAGCACTCGTGCCATCATAGACTACAAAACCTGGCAGTACTTGAGAAATGGGTTCTCTCAGAAGACGATCAAGGTGCTTTGGCGGCATGGAACAGCTTTACTGATTATCTTATCGAAATTATAACGCCTGCAACAAGTATAAAATCTAGTGCTAAATCTAAAACTCGACAGTAATTCGTTCGCAGATGAACAAAGAAATGGATAGAGTAAACGGACTTTTCCTGGTGGGCAGAAGATATTCCATCTATCAAACTTGGATTAATTATTCCTTATTGTGAACTGGGCGTACCAAGTTTGTACGAGAGGACAAATTGATGTACTAAGAAACCTTGGCTAAAAAATTCATTTGTAATCCAAAATTGCCTTATAAACATATCAACTCTAAAAGAAAGGTCGAATGCGGAATACCAGTATTGAGGTCGTTTGGACATATTTCAACTACAACCCTAGAAGCAGCAGAGCTCCTCAAAACTCAGTTCTATCACGTGTCTACTGAAACGACACACAAAACATTACAGATTCCACGCAAACTACCCTGTAGACCACATCCGTCACTGGTCAAAATAGCTTTTGACGGTGAAATAGTTAGAGTAAAACTGCTAAATTTGCGTAAGAATTCACACCCGGGCGCAGATATGCATCCCGGGACTCTGATCTCGCTTGCCAATAACATATTCGAACCTCCGGCCGTTTAACAAGGCGGTAATTCCGCAGTCATGGAAGGACGGGGTAATTTCACCCATTTACAAAGAGGACTCTCTCAGTGATCCCGCCAACTACCGCTCTTACACTTCTTCCCGTACTGTCGAAAGTCTTGGAAGCTATTGTGACAGATCTTTTGATGGAATATTTGGAGAAGCATGGGCTTTTGTCTCCAACTCAGCACGGATTTCACCACAAGCGTTCGTGTACCACAAATCTACATCTTGCACGGGATGAGTGGATAAAATCCATCGATGCAGGCCAGCCATTGGACATAATTTACTTGAACTTCTCCAAAGCATTTGATCGAGTAAACCACCAAATTCCACTGCGAAAACTCTACAACTTTGTTTCGGGACTGGATCAAGGTGTTTCTCCGACAAAGAACCATGTCAGTTCGTATTGGTGATACATTATCGGAGCCTATCACCACTGCCCAAGGGGTTCCTCAAGGATCCGTACTGCGGGCAACGTCTCTTTCTTGAATTTATAAACGACTTGCCACATGTCCTGGAGCCTAATACACTGCTATTAGCGGACGAGATCTGGAGAACTGTGACACCCTGAGGATTATATAGCACTCCAACAAACGATCGAGGCAGCCCAGCGATGGCCAATCGCCAACGACATCGAGTTCAACGTTTCAAAATGCAGAGGTATTTCCATGCGGCATAAGACTCGTTTCCCCCATGTTCTGGTAAACCAAATACTACCGCATGCCACTGATGAAAGGGATTTGGGAGTTATGGTACAGGAGAACGTAGGATGTTCCACGCACTGTGCCAGAGCATCATCTATGGCTCTAAAGCAAGTTGGACTACTCAGACGTGTTTTCGGACAGTTCGAAAGAGCACTGCTCCCAAGTATGGAATCCATGGTTAAACCGCGACAAGAAGGCTCTAGAACGTCCGCAAAGGCTGGCAACGAAATTGGTAAAAGGTCTGTATGACAAGAAATAGTGCGAAAGACTGCAAATATTGGGGCTCTTCTCATCCCAATACCGCTGACTTCGGGTGGACCTAATCCTGGCATATAACATACTGCATCAACTCAACCACCCTTGCCGTTCTATGCTAACTTTATCTCAAAAAGATCACCTCAGGAGACACTAAAGTTGAAGACCCAGAACGGCCAACTTGATTGGCGGTACCACTCGTTTGCAGTTAGTGTATAGAATTCTCTTCCATCCCATGTAGTGTGTGCTCCTACAGTTGAACTATTTGAATCGCAACTTGATAAAGCGTCGGAGCACTTAACATTTCGACACCCATGAGTCATCATGCATTTTAATACTATTATTTCCTCTTTGTAAAATTATTCAAAAGATTCTGTAAAAATCCCATGGGACATGAGTTTTAGCTTTGTTAAATAGCGCATAATAACTTTATAATAAACGACTGTGGATAACCTTCAAAACACAAATATAGAACTGATTGGAATGTTTGCAAATTATGACCCTATATTGCACTTCTCAGGTACTTTCTCACCTACCTAACTGATTACCGATCAGCTCGTCGTAGTCTTTAACCTAGTAGCAACCCCGTCGATAAGGTCAGCGCATCAGAAATACATGCATCTCGAGAAGACCTTTGTCCGTAGGTATAAAGCCAACGCTCATTTGAAATCTAATGAATTATCATATGCGTATTGACAGCAACTGCTGGTGGTTTCGAACAGAGTCAAGCAATTAAGTTTACGAATCAACGACCCTACACCGGATAGCCGTTTCATGGATTAATCACCTTTGTTGCTTCCCTAATCAATATGTCTTCGCGGATATTGCATCGGAACAAAGGCGAGGGATCAGAGCAGGTCCTATAAGCCGCAACCGATGAAGATCGAGTACCTGCATCAGTTTTCAACTTCAAGTCAAAAACTTCAGCTCAGTAATTTTCGTGCATTATCTACAGAGAATTTTGGAGTCTAGGCAAAGTTCAGTAAAATCAAACAAAGTACTCGCTCGTCGACGACGGCAAACAAATTCTGAGTGATGGTCATCGGTTTAGGTCGATACCACTGGCATGCCCCGAATCCTAGGACGCTTGCTACGAAACCTACCAACAACACCATCGAACAATGGTAGATGCTAGGAGTTCCGACATGATTTGGTTCAATACTCAATTTACCCTGCAGTTTGCTACTCCAAAGTTTCCGATTAGCTCTGTTGCCTGAAACATAGGATGATAAAATATGGCGGCATCTTGAGAATCGAAAATTTAGGTAAATAGCTCTGAAAAGCAAGAATCACGATGACTTTCGTTGTAAAATGGGTCCAATCAGTTCAGTTCAGTTCTTACAATCCCTTAACCATGCACTTTCTTTCGCCGGTTTTGGTTGCCCATTTGTATAAAACAGCAGAAAGATGATTAGAATTTTGAAGGCAGATTTAAGTGGAAGGTAGCATATTTTCATAGTTACAGGAACAATGAGTAGATGCATGAGCGCCACTGTTCGCGACACCCAGCCAGATCACTCAGTGTAGCTAACCATCGGTGACCATCATCCCGAGGTCCCCAGCCAGGGAGCCTAACGGGGCCTATGTGAACTGGTCTCCTGGTTAGGGTTTTCATACCCTCATACCAGGTCTTGGTTTGACCATCCTCTATCTTTTTCAATCGCTACCAGCCTTGGCAAACATCGTTCGTCGCGGTAACCTATGTGGCGACATACGTAACACATGTCCCAACCAGCGTAATCTATAGAGGTCGATCACTTGCTCTAGTGGACGACCGCGACCGCCTAAAACTCTACGCCTAACCTCAGCATTGATAGTCCGGTTGCCCCACCAGACACGTGCAATGCTACGTAGACAGCGGTGTTCGAACACCGACAGTCTATCTTTATCCTGTTCCCTTAGTGGCCAAGTCTCTGCACCGTAGAGCAGGACTGGCCGAACTGATGCAGCATACACTCGACCCTTCACAGACAGCCGGATGTCGCGACGGCGCCACAAATGTCTCAAGTTGGCAAATGCCAGTCGAGCCTTTGGTATGCGCGCCGACACATCATCTGTGATGCGTCCGCCTGGTGAGATATAGCTACCCAGATAGCAAAATTTGTCTACTTCCTCTACTACTTCCCCAGTTAGGGTGAGACTGGGTGCTGGATCAACCCAATCTTGTAGTAGCATTTTACACTTTGAAGGTGCAAAGCACATGCCGATCACAATTACTTGCAACCAAATTTGATTCAAGAATGTGTAAAATAACGATAGTATAAAATGATATGGCCTGATAATGGGCTAACTTAATTTTCCCTACGTCACCCCTGACTGATCAGGCTAAAAAATCAAACGAAGAGAAATACGAAACAAACGTTCGAATTTGTACAAGAAATAGCATCAAATGATGATGTTGATGAGCATGCATGAACGAGAGGTTTGGTTGCACTGAAAAGAACAGAAGATCTAGATGGGAATTCCTTATCTCACGAGTTCAAGCTTATATCGTGTGGGCGGTGGCTATAAATTGGACGCCAGAACACCGTTATCCAGGGGACAGTGAAGTTTAATGCGTAGTGTAGTGAGCGTATACGCCCCGTATGGCGTGGATGGATCGTGGGGGACCGCACGACAGTACACGTCATGAGGATATACAAATTCGGATCGTGTATGAGTTCGAAAAGATGCAACCCAACTTAATCGGGTGCCATACGAAAGTGAGAATGAAAGGATCAAAAACACTATAGGATAGGTTCGGTTGAAGGTGGGGGTGCGAGATTTGGGCTAGGAGAGTATGGGGAAGTAAATCACATCACCGTACGCCGCCATCACAATGATTCTAAGAATACGTCATTCAATTCTGATACTGAACGAACGCAGGGGCGGCGAGATCATAGCTGTTGATAAATTGCCCGTTTTAAGAGATTGGGGACGTGATAATGCATAATTTTTCGAGGTCCACTTTGTATTGGATACTTGAATCTACAATCCACCTGGACCACCAGGGGCCGTAGCAGCTACGGAACTAACCGAACGTGAGCCATCTGTCAATTTGCCGTTGACTTTCGACAAACCGGCTGTAGGGATCAAATCTGTGTTGGAACTACATGGATCAGGTAGTGAATTACCACCAGAAGTGTTTGATCCGGGACCGGGCATATTGATGGGCATGACTACATCAGATGAGGAGGTGGACGAGGCGGGAGGCAAGGATAGCACACTTGTTGGTAAAACTGCAGAAGGTGCCGAAGGTTTTGGATTAAGAGTGACCGGGGCTGAAGTTGCTACAAGTTGGTTAGTGCTTGTCGAGGGTACAGTAAGACTGTTTTCTTCAGTTCCGGGAGATTCTGGTGGAACCAGGACGTAAGTAATCAGGTATTCGGGATAGGCCTGTTCTCCACGGTAAACCACATACTCGGCAAAATTCAGGCCACCTGCGCTTGGCCGACCAACAATGGAATGGTGTCCAGGGGGTGCATGAGCCACCTTCATCGCATTGAACTGGATGAACGAACGACCCAAAGCGACACGACAGAGGAGGATTTGGCGCGGGCAGACGTAACATGAACGAGATTTGTGTGTGGGGCAACCAGCTCCACCACCGATACCGTAAACGTACTGAAAATAAACCGAAAGGAGACACATAGTAGTGCAAATGGAACCTGTATGAATATGATTCATTGCCAGGCAAATGTATGAAACTCATTAAATCATAGGCACTAAACTGAAAAAGAAAAATATGGGAATTGTGATGATGACACAAACATAATTGTGCGGAGTGGCATTTGCTTTTTGAATTTAAGACATTATGGAGACGTGAGGAAGACTGGGATTCCTTTTCACTTATATGTGGCTAGCGTCTGAGAGAAGTTAAGACGGCCTCATGAATCTGATCGTGAAGAGTCTTCAGAACATGATGAAATAGCGTTCCTAGCATCGCTCAACATTTCGGGGCTTCATGCTAAGCAGCAGGCAGTTCGTAAGATGGGACCTGGTAACTGCTTGAGGGGATAAATGCCTTTTGGATGGTGGTCCACTGAGTAAGGATGGTCAACGAGTCTAAAATGGTCTCAAGCAAATCAAGATGCTTGCGTAGGACGGAAGACCTCATCTAGCGGTAGGCCATGTCCACACACACGTTTTGATGTTTACAAAGAGTACCTAAGTCAGTGTTAAACTTCGATTGTTCTGCATTGAATCAGACTTTAGTTTTAGCAAAACGAAAACCAACAAGGTACCAAGGATAAGGATCGAGATACTAGCTAACAGCGCTGGTAAACGGCGTAAATGGCGCACCTGTTACAAGACTGCTATACGTTGATTTGTATTTGAACCGCTTTCACATTCAACGCGGTGGAAATTTTGTGATGATCGACAAAGAGCACTGGACAGCTATTTCGTCCAGTCTGGGACTCGGCAGTAGTGCGTAGTTTTTGTCCCTACTAGGATTCTTCGGGTTGGGACTTTACATGTTGTGGTACCCTTGCCAACTTTATATGATTGGTTACATGTTGAATACATATATATATATATATATATATGTGTGTGTGTGTGTATGAAGTCTGATGCCATGCAAAAGTTGACCACATTTGCAAACGGCGTAGCAACTTTTTAGTGATTTGCAGCTCATTTAGTGCCAACTAACCCATCTGTTATTTTCAACCTGGAGGCCCATCCAGTAGCATTCACTCGAACAGCTTTCAAAGACGACCAGATGGTGAACGACTAATCAGCATATTGGTGTTTCAGATAACGTAGAATTTTCCCCTTTCATTCTATAATTCTAAATGGTAGTGAGTTGGAGAGACTTATGTTCATTGTTGACTGATCGCCGAATACGAGGACCGGTGTTTAATAATTTGTCAACTAAATAAACATGATAATCGGATTTGAATAAGCACTACTTATCGAAGTGTTACAACGAGTCAATTTAGCACACTAGAAGACGAGGGCGATTAAACAAACAAACTGACCGCGGAAGTTGGGTTATGGCAGAAGTGAACTTGCATTTTCATTGACAACAATTTTAGAAGGGAGGAGGGGGCGTAAACTTGTCTCCACCACAGAGTGCCGACTGACCTGATTAGACTTGGACGAGTTTTCGGCAAAGTAGATGCCGGCACCAAACATGCCACCAATGTACGCATGTCGTTCATCGAAACCCTTCATTACAATCGCCTGCAGGAATGGGGATCCGTGGAACAGTAGGCGTTCGTTGTAGTGTCCCGAATTATCTTCGCTGATCTCGTTACAGCGATGTACATAACGATCCCACAAACGCCGATTTCGGATACGAGCAACTTTGAGCACTTCGTAAGTTTTGAAAACTCCACCGCAGTTATCTTTGTGTTCGCGAATAGTGCTGAGAACCTGATTTCAAAGAAGTAAAGTTGCAAGGGAGAAACGGATTGTATTATTGCAAGAATACTGTTACAAGCAATTTTGAGGCTTAGGGGACTATCTTAACAAATTTGACGTGTATGAGGACCCGCTATTCACCTCACACTTTCCGAAAACTGAGGGTGGTATATTAAAAACATTAAATTGGTTACACGCAAGTGCTTAAACTACCGCGTACAAGTGACTTCTGTAGTACGTGCCGAATACAGTGCAAACGAAAGCTGATGATTGGACTAAAATACGATCCTCAATTTGGCTACTGAGCAATAAATAAGTAGTTAAAATTAGTTCGATGAAGACGGTCTATGTTTGAAGAAAGTCAAGCCAAGTCAAATCAGTAGTAGCTTTATGCACCCGGGTGGGTGTATTTTCAGCAATTACACCATATTTGTGGATTCAAATTTACAAAACGATTACATAATGAAACTGAAAACAATGAGGTGTTGGTCAATGAAGCAGGCGGTTGCGCAATTCTGCGGAAATTTTCTCCTTGTCTATAAGTAGATGTGCTAGATATGGCAGAACAGAATTACGATAAGCAGAGGTAGGTGCAAATAACAGTTTAAATCTTGAGCGTGTGTATGATGTAGATAAAGCTTTTGAAAATTCATCGTGTAATGGGTGGTGAGTGTCTGAGATTATTTTGGCGGTGAAACTTTCACATGCTTGTAGGTGTCTATGAATGATAGAATCGGCGAGTTTATCCNAGATGTGTTTCAGAGATCTCGCCAGTAAATAAAAGTCTTTCTTCAACATACCGGGAAAAATTACTGGAGAGCAATAAAACCAGTGGGGTAGCAAGCATGCATTCACAAATCTAACTATCAGCTGGTGGGGAACAGAAAATAATCTCAATCGGAGTGAGAAATATGAAAGTTTTCTAACAGGTGTTTTGAACATGCAGTGACCATGATAAATTGTGTGATAGGGTGACGCCAAGGTATTTTACTATTATTGATTTCGGAAGGGGTTGTTGATTTGCAGAAAGGGTGGGGAACCTATCTGTAAGGGCTGAATATGGTACATCGGCCAAGAGGGAAAACACAACATCCTGACATTTAGAGGCATTGAATGAGAGGGAACGGGACAAGGATCAAGTGACAACGTCATTCAGCTTGCTTTGAATTTCTGAAGCCTCTTCAGTGGTGGATGCTTTGCAACCTACAACAACGTCATCAGCGTATTTACAGCCAATGAATGCAGGAGGAATGGGAAATTTTTTGACACACATAGAAAGGAAAAATGGGGGAAATATTGCACCTTTCAGGACTCCAGAATAAACTGGGCGAGTGGAGGACTTTTCGCCGTTGAGACATGTAAACTAAATTCTATCTGTGAAATAATCACAGATCAGTCTGCTAACGTTTGAATTTACACCACTTTCAGTAATCAGGTTGAGCAATACTGATCGAACAAGACTGCCGAAAGCGTTTTTGTAGTCTAAGAACATCATTCTGACGGTCTTAATTTTCTTATCTAGTGCGATTATTGAATGAACAAGATATGCAACGGCATCAAGTGTTGACCGCGAGGAGTGATATGCAAATTGATGTGTCGTCTTCATCAGACTCAGTGGCAACCCACGGTAATAAGCATCTCTCAAATAGTTTAAGCATGGCTGACGTGCAGGCGATGGGACGATATTTCCCAGGTTCCTTTTTTGGAACGTGAGTTATCTTGGCCAGTCTCCAAATATCAGGGATTTTCCGCCTGTAAGACAGTCATTGAATATTTTTGACAATAAGGCTGAAAGGGTACCCGTACACACTTTGAGTACTACCGGTGATAGTTAATCAGGACCCGATACTTTATTCACACCATTCGGGATCAGCAAACCACTGGTCAAAAATACGATGACCGATTCGATTTAAAGATAATAACAGGAAGGCTGTATTGATTGAGAAATTGTCTCGCGTGTTACAGGCAGATGAAAAGTGAATGTGCACGTACCTGTTCTTCAACCGCACGAAATTCTGGGTCAGACGGTTCCAGTTCAAGCATAACAGTGCTGCGATTAGATCCCGGGGGGAAATACATCGGCCCGATTGGAGTGGCCTCAGCAACTCCAACTCCATGAAAATGAGCTGTTGCATGGACCGAACCAGTTCTATAGGCCGGGGAGAACATTGGATTAAGTGCGGGTATTTGTGCTTTGGATTGCTTGATCGACCGTATTGCACTACCGGTACCAAGGTCCATATTTTGCAAACCAGAAGTCACGATGCCAGTTGCATGACCGCCCAACGATACACGCCAACGTTGAATGCCTTTGATAATTTTGTGACGATGCCCGTACACCGAGACACCGAGCTCGCGTAACTCCGCATGCCCCATTTCAGCTAGAATGTCCATCGTGACCTGAGGAAAGCAACGTGAATGGTTTCAACTGTAAGGCATATGAGTAATACACAATTTTTTAGGCACTTAATCCACAGAAGATTTAAAATCATCAAAAGCTATTGCAAACAACCGAACGCTTTTGCGTTATTTACTCCCTCGGAAATCCCACTGGATATAACAGCAATTATACAATCACTAGAATAAGCTCCGACTTGGATCTCACTGACTAGCCTACAGTTCATTCGAAACGGACACTTTGAGTAGGGGGTCAGGCTTATCGATACCTACATCTGTAGTGAAATGTGTTTAATGAACAGCAACTTATTGACCATTGTTAGTCAGTCTAGGGGGAGTTTGCTGAACTCTGATTCCAAGCCACCCAACCTGGCGTAATAAGCTCGTAGTGGCACCAATCATCGGCGCAAACGAAAGTTAGCCTTTGGAAATGACCACCGTGACGCTCACCGGCAAG